TCCAAAATTGCCCCAACTTGGAAGTAACTAAGATGTCCTTCATAAAGCAAATGGCTAAATAAACTGCGATACAGCCAGATAATAGAATATTATCTAGTGCTAACAAGGGAAATGAGCTATCAACCATGAAAAGACATGGAGGAACCATAAGGCCATACTCCTAAGTAAAAGAAGCCAATCTGAGATATCTGTCCACTCCCCTCAGCCACCTTGAAGGATGGTCTCCCAAGAAGGAGAGCGCAAGTGCAATACCTGCCTGTCTCAACATCAGTGCCTGGCCCCATGAGATCTTACTTTACCCTTTGGGCTTGGGGTCATTGAGGTAGCTCTATGTTCTTTCCATAAATGTTATTTTTTATAGTGGCAAGTGGTGAAAATGGGAAAAATAATAATAAAGAGTAGAAAAAGATAACAAGTTTCATTGCAGTCCTAAATTGCAGACTGTCACAAGATGCCTGCGTACTGAATGATGTCCATTCAAACTGTTACATTTTTAAATAATACTCAACTCCCTTAATTCCCACACCCCTACCTTCCTTCTGACAGGGTCATTATATTAACCTACTACCTAGAACCCTTATCTTTTGTCTCGCCCTTCCCTAATCTAGCCTCTACATCACTGTGTGAGGTTGTTGCAATAGCCTGACCTTGCTCACTTACCTTGCTTTTGTCCCTCCACTACATTTTCTCCTGCTTCCCAGTCCCTAGAAAATGCTGCCTCCTCTGCTTTAACACCTGCCAGCCTTCACCACTTAGTAATCTCCTCCTTTGCTTCAAGGAGGTAAGCTCGAGAGTGACTTTCCCTGTAGGGGAGCCATCAATTTTTTTGTATTCTCAGGCTGAATTAGGTGTTTTTTTCATGTTCTCATGACACTGCATCCCTCTACCCTAGAAATGCACAGTGATTCTCATATAATTCACCAGTGGTCTGTGATATAACTGAGGCTGGGTTATATCTTATTGATCTTCATGCCCCCGGCTCTTAGTGGAACTCCTGGGCACATAGAACATACTCCAAAATATTTATTGAAACGGATCTATCAAATGATTATAGAGCTGCAAAAAATGTGGTCTCACCTCACATCCGGGTTAAGAATGTAAAATCTAGGACAGCCCATATACCTGGTAATCTGAGATCTCTAAGCAACCTAACTCCAACCACTACTAGAGGGGAAAAAATTGGTGTTGAGTATTATTTTCCTTTTATTTGTCATTTTTAATATATTCAGGCAAGTGAGAGAGCTAAAAGTGGCAGACAAACAGAAGTACTCAGACTATTGTGAGCTACATTTAAAAATATTTTAACACTTAGAGTAATTGATATGTGTAGCAAATAATATTCACACCATGAGAGCATATAGTTTTACAGTTTTTTCCAACAAATGCTTTTCAGATCACTTTCTATATAACAGACACAGTTCTAAAAATATCAATTCATTTAATTCTTATAACAGCCTTAAGATGTCATCATAGGACCAATTTGGGACTTTCTTTACTGACTTGTGATAATAAGCTGACTCCTTTTCCCAGCATCCAGCAGAAAGACTTTAAATTGAAGAGAATAATAGTATCTACAGAACTAAAAATTCTTTTCAAATGTCCTAAAGGGTATCAAAAGATATAAGGAAGAGAGCACATCAAAATGAGTACTGCAATAATTATCATCTCTAACGTACTTGCAAAAGGGGAAACAAATAATAAATTGGAGTTTTGAGTGAAATTTTTATATGACCTTGGAGTACCACATATTTGAAGTAAATCACCTGATAAATAATGGACAGAAGGCAATAGAATACTCATAGGATCAAGATAAATCCAGGCTTGTCACAACATAAAGCAGATAACAGAACAAAATCTTGAAAATAATCTCCTTATTTACACTTTTAGTCAAGAGTGATTAATTGCAGATAGAAGACGTAAAGAGAGCAGATTGAAGTAGACAAGTTGAAGTGCTATGAAATGAAAGCTAAGGGCACTGAGTCCTTAGTAAATAGCATACTGGTCTATATTTATGAGCCAACTGTCAATGACAAGGAATTTGCACACATTAATGAATATAGATTGGTACTAAAGTTGCAACCTTTCCTATTTTGAAAAGAATAGTACATGGAGAAGGAAAACACAGATATTAATAAGTCAGAGGGACACATATACCACTGAATAAAGTTAGCACAGTTGTATCAATGAACTTGAATGAAGCTATAGAAGGCCTGCTTGTCAAATTTACTGATAACAAGAGGTCTAGAGAAATGACTAATGCTTTAATATATTTTATTTATTTTTTACAGAGAGGAAGGGAGAGGGATAGAGAGTTAGAAACATCGATGAGAGAGAAACATCGATTAGCTGCCTCCTGCACACCCCCTGCTGGGGATGTGCCCGCAACCAAGGTACATGCCCTTGACCAGAATGGAACCTGGGACCCTTCAGTCCACAGGCCGACGCTTTATCCACTGAGCCAAACCAGCCAGGGCCTGAGTAATGCTTTAGATAACAGGATCAGCATTTAAGAAAATCTGGTTAAACCTCAAATTAACAAAAGTAAATTAATACATGTGTATCTCATTTGGATATCCTACTTATATTAGTATGTCACCTTTTCACACAGGCCTCTTTTGACCATCTATTTCTAATATGGCCTTTGGTATTCTCCACTCACAATTACTTCACTCTATTTAGTTTTCAACATAGCATGTATCCTTTCCTAATACTTTCCTTATGTACTTCTTAGTTTGTTTATTTTTAAATTCACTGGAAAGTAAAATGCATGCAGCAGTAACCTTGATTAACTTGTATCACTGAGAGTGAAACGGGAGCACTAAGTAAACATATGTCAAAAAATAAAATGCCTATTTTTTTCTCTCCTCTTAAAAAGAAATTTGACAAGGGAAGAATGGGGAAATCCAACAACAGTATTTCTTAAGAAATAGGGCATCTGTAGAATAACAGAAGCATTAAGATGGGATCAAAAGTACTGGGTGGTTTTGCCACTGAGTAGTCATTTGAGCTTTTGTCAATCATGTAATTTCTTCAGAAAGTTTACTCATCTGTGAACAAGGCTGATAATAGCCCCACAGAGGTGTTATAATAATGTGTATAAAATAAATTTATAAAGTATGATGTACAAAACAAAAGTGAAGAATTATGATTGGGGGTCCGGGTAGGGGGTTGAGTAAATGCTCAATATGAATCCTCAGTGTCTTGTGACTTTTGAAAACATAATAAGATACAAACATTGGAAATAATAGTATACATTTTGTACTGACAAGACCCAATCCAGATCATTGTATTTTCTCTTACTTGCATGTTATCTAAGGTATTGACAAATGTCTAAAGGAAGACCAAGCAAATATAGGTTGTAGAGATAATGTCATTTATAAAATAATGGAAATAATTGGGGGGAAAGTGACCGTAGGGAGCATGGGAAGGGGAGGGGACTATGGTACTTATTTTTTTCCAATATTTTGTATTTTTTTTCTTTATTGATTATGGTATCACATATGTGTCCTTATCCTCCCATTGTCCCTCCCCCCATTCATGCCCTCACCCCCTGGTGTCTGTGTCCATTGGTTAGGCTTAATATGCATGCATACAAGTCCTTTGGTTGTGATGCATATTTTGAATATGTGAAGAATTGTCACGTGGAAGACTTATTCCATGTAGCACTAAGATGCCAACTAGGAATTCGATAGAAAAGACTGAGAAAGACAAATGTTGGTTAAAGACCTTGTTTCAATGTGTGGCACAGTTTTCCAAACTTTAGAGCAGCCCCATAATGGTGGATGTAATAAATTACGGTGTCACGTCTAAACTAGGGACACATCAGGCTTCTAATATTACGCTGGAGTCTAGCCTAGATGATTCCAAGGTCCTTCCCAAGTCCAATTATAATCAATCAATCAAATGCAATATTCCTATCATGCTTACTGAGAACGAAAGGATTTTGAACTCAGACTCAAACACATCCCAAAATAGTTTCCTTAGAGACCCTATCAATTAATGAGAGAATGACAGGTGATATCAATCCTGAGTCCACGAGAAGGAAGACCCGTGGGTGTGGTAATCACCAGAGAGAGCAATCCTGCTTCAACCACCCCATCCAGCTGGGAATCCCGTTCACGCTGTTTGGTATGGCTCCTCCGCTTGAGAACATTTAACTGTGAGCGCATTTATGACCCTCGGTGTCCTTTAAGAATCTGCTGCTCTATTTCACATGACACTTGCTGTTGCAAATACAAATTCTAACTAAATACGTCTTTAAAAAGGGGTCTCATTTCCCAATTCCGAGGGGGAGGTGCCTGAAAGATTCAGCAAGTGCTCCCTTGGAAAAGCCCCACAAATGTTAAACTATTTGCCTGAAATGACTTTTGCCGAGTCCTGCTGGAGGAACACAGCGACTCCTCCTCATGCCCTTTGCATTGACATCACAGAGACAAAGGCGCCGATACCTCCCGAGTTCACCATGCCCTGACATGCTTGCCATGTGCACAGACCTGCACACGTATGGTTTAGAGAAACTGCAGGTGAGACCTGGAGAAGGAAATGGAAAGTAGAAAAGACGGGAGGTGGGACCCGCAGAGACACAGGTTAAAATCATCTTCGTTACTTTCTCCCCTCCCACTCCAGCTCTCCATCCGCGCGGGAGGAGGCTGCGGGCTGCGGACTCAGTGCTGGAATGAGGAGTAATTGAGCCCGAGCCGAGCCGAGGTAGCGTCTCCTCCCGGTGTCATTGCTGCAGCCTCCAGTGCCGGGTCCCGAGGTCCTCAGCCGCCTGGCTCCCCGGCGCCCGAGCGCCCGGCACACACAGCCCAGGCGCCGCCGAAGTTGCGGGGCACAGGACTCCGGAGGAGGCATTGGCTCCTGAACTTTTCACGTCATTTGCTGCTCGGAGCCCCTTCTCGCCGCTCGGCGCAGCCGTTCCCACCGCGAGTCCCCGGTGCTCATGGGGCAGGGCAAGAGCCGCTTGCAGCACTGAGCCGAACCGGACTCCAGCCCCGTGATGTCCGGGCACCAAACTGGAGGACTCACCCCCGTGTCGCAACTGGTCATCCGCCTCGGAGCTGAATGAAACTCAAGAGCCCTTTCTAAGCCCCACCGACTATGACGACGAGGAATTCCTGCGGTACCTGTGGAGGGAATACCTCCACCCGAAAGAATACGAGTGGGTCCTGATCGCGGGCTACATCATCGTGTTCGTGGTGGCTCTCATCGGGAACATCCTGGGTGAGTCCTGTCCCCGGCGGCCCCCCAGAGGGCTGCCACGTACCCTTCGCCCCGGGCTGCAAAAGCTCGGAGACCCCTCCCTCCCCCTGGGATGCAAACAAAGAGGTCCCTGCCCTCCGGGTGGGGTTTTCTATTTAAAAAAAAAAAAAAAAAGTTTTCTGATTTTCGGAACCAGGACAAAGCCTTGAAATAGTGATTCTTTTTTTATTTTGTTTTGGGGGTTTTTTCTGCAGAGAGAAGCGGGGGAACCGCGTTTCTCTTGCGAGCACCTGGGTGACAAGTGCCAGCAGAGGGGCAGCGAGGGCTGCCGCCAGGTGGATTTCCAGAGTGGGGAAATTAGCCATCCTTTTGTGTGGCGTGGCTGGCGGTTTCAGGGGCTTTGGGGAGAAGTAGAGCTGGCAGAATGAAAAGCTGTTGCCTACACGGAGCAAGCCTGCTTCGGCTTTTGAAGTCACTAAGGATTTGTGGGCGAGGTGGGGTGCCCCTTGGCGAGGAGGCTGAGGCTCTGTCTGGAGGTGGGCATGAAAGGGCAGGGAGTGGAGACCCAGGCGAAGCAGCGAGGTGCGCTCCCGCACTGAGGGCTTAATTATAGAGGAACCATGCTGGGAGCAAGCAAGAAGGAGGGGCATCTGAGAAAAGTGCCAAAGAGATCCCAATCATCCATCCATTCATTCATCATTCATTCATTCATACACTCAACCAATATCGCCCCCCCTCCCCCAGAACATGCTTGTTGCCACACTTCAGAAAGATTTGTCACTGGTTGTTTTGTGTGTGTGGTTTTTCCCCCCCCCAAACAAGATCATTTTTAATGCTAGGCTTATCTCTATTTGTCCCTGTCCAGATTTGCATGCAAAACCACCCATTCTCCACCTCTGCACAGTTTCTGAGGGTTGGGGAGTGGGCGTAATGGTGATATGATGGCTGTGGTGGTGGAGTTGATTAGAGCAGCTGGGGAATCCACTTAAAAAGAGCTTTAGGGGGGCCTTGAGGACTTAACATGAATTGTGAATGGACCGAGCATGTGCCTTGATGAATGGAGAGTGGGAGGCAGTTCATATGTAGAGGGCAGTGTGGAGGGAATCTCTGTTGAAAAGAACAGGAGGAGACGGGGAGGCTGGGTGAAGATGCTCTCTCGGTGATGGTTATGAAAAGGGAAGAAGAGGAGTGATGTGAAATAGGCTGGGAGGCTTTGAAG